GCCATGTATCGTGAGATTTTGAGCCAAAACCTCCTTCCATCAGTGAGACCTTTGAAGATGAAACGAGGCTGGGTCTTCCAACATGACAATGATCCAAAACACACCGGCCGGGCAACAAAGGAGTGGCTCCGTAAGAAGCATTTGAAAGTCCTGGAGTGGCCTAGCCAGTCTCCAGACCTCAACCCCATAGAAAATCTGTGGCGGGAGTTGAAAGTCCGTGTTGCTCGGCGACAGCCCCAAAACATCACTGCTCTCGAGAAGATCTGCATGGAGGAATGGGCCAAAATACCAGCTACTGTGTGTGCAAACCTGGTAAAGACCTATAGTAAACGTTTGACCTCTGTTATTGCCAACAAAGGTTATGTTACAAAGTATTGAGTTGTATTTTTGTTATTGACCAAATACTTATTTTCCACCCTGATTCACCAATAAATTCTTTACAAATCCTACCATGTGGATTCATGGATTTTTCACATTCTGTCTCTCACAGTTGAAGTGTACCTCTGGTGAAAATTACTGACCTCTGTCATCATTTTAGGTGGGGGAACTTGCACAATCGGTGGCTGACTAAATACTTTTTTGCCCCACTGTACCTCTGTAGACTTGATGTGGCGCAAAATAAAACGAGGACATCACATTTTCAGATGTTTGGCCTTGGTTTCATGCTGAAATATCGCTTTCCATGACATATTCTACAGACACAGGTTTACTGTGACACTTACCTTTCGTGCAACAGCAAAAACCAGAATGGCAAAACGAATTTGTGCTCTTTGTTAAACTGTTGGTGCAGGGGACATGCTGACTACTGTACTGCTGGGTTTTGCTAGAGTGTCTGTCTATTGTGGGTTGTGTGAAATTGTATCAGCACAGCAAAGAGGGTAAGGTAAAATTTGATGGAATGAAGCTACTAATAAAATGGCATTCTCCATCTGTGGCTCCCCAGGTCCACATTCCCTCAAAGGTCAGTGCTGTCAGCGTGGTTTACGGTTTAAAAAAAGGAAGATTGTACTTGTTAAAATGCAGTTGTTGAGTTTTTAATATGACCTCAAGGGAAAGCACTTTGTAATTTTACATTACCTGTCTGATAACAGTGATTCTGTTTGCAATGAAGTGGTTTATATCCAAAATTTGCTGGTGAAAATTAAAATATGAGTCCAGTTTAATGACACTGTCTATGTTAGGAGTGTGTGAACAGCAGTGCACCTTCTTTCTCCACCACACCCCTTGTTTCTCTTGTGTGAAAGCTCTGAATGCTGTTTGTTGGTTTTATCGAAGATTTTGGTCTTTGTCTTGCATTTGAAAACAGTAAAAATGTAGGAGCTGCTGCTGACAGACCTGCAAGGACCTGCAGTTCCTCTAATGCCCACTTGAACCTGGATTCGAAAGTGAGTCAGTCTTCATAGACTCCCAGCAGAAATAAGCATGTTTACAGCATATGGCAAACCTCAGTTTTGGTCTCTAGCTAGTTTGTCTTTATAGGAACTGTATCCGGGATGAATTTGGTATTTCTAAGTTCAATTCAATTCAATTCAGGTGGCTGCTAGCTGAGCATGTTTGTGCTGTTGGTGCCTTTTGGAAGTATTTTTAATGCAACAATCTGACAAATAACACGACTGTGCATTCAATTGTTTTAAAAGATTGTCAAAAAAGGCTGTGTTCCAGATTTGGTGAGTGAAATTCTAGAATTTTCTACAACATTCTTGTCACATTTCTGAAGAGAGGACCCAAAAGCAGACAGAACTTGATCTTAACAAAATGCAAGCTGTTTATTAAGGGCTGATAGAAGATCAGACAATGATACAAAAATAAAGGGCAATGAAGGCTTACACTAACCAAAACTAGACTGGGAAAATCCACTGTGAATATGGGGGGAGGTGAACTGATGTTCTGCCAAAAGACAAAGAAGAACTGACACAATATACACAGACAGGTGATTAGTACAGTAGAGACGGCTGGGAAACACAGCTGGAACAATTAGACACAGAGCCAGGGGAAGCAAAACTAAACACAAGCATATGAGCCAAGGACTATCAAAATAAGACAGAAAACCCACTGAGACGCAGACTAAGACACACAAATTGACGTGGGAAGACAATAGGACACATGGAAAACTGACATGGTAGAGGAGAAAGATGGAGAGAGCGAGGCATACATGAACAGAAGGAAGAACCAACATGACACATAGAGGGAATAAACAGAGACATGACAGAGGACATAAATAAAGCACATGACTGACTCTCAGAGGAGACACAGGGATGAGACAAAGACACAAAAGGAACTTAACAGACAGGAACAATGAATCTGAAATACAAATAAACTCAGAGAGACTAAAAGAACTAAACTCAAGACTAAACTGTACAAAGCTTGAACTTAAATCATCATCATCATACAGATAAACTCTAAACGCTGGGTCACCCAGGACCATGACGCTTCTAGGACAGATGGCAGTGGCAAAGCTATAGTTGAGGCTTCAGTCTGGTACTTTACAAATCAGTGGGTCCCTGTGGCTAATCCATGTGTTTGTATAACACTTATCTACTTGGCACCAACATTATGTTATTTTTTTAAGGGTTTGTCTGATTCCTCAAGCTCACAGATATTTCTAAGCTATGTTCTTCAGTGAGTCCTCTTGTTTAGAAGAGGAATGGTAAAGGTTAAATACATTAATTCCATCGTCAGGAGGGACTGCTGTATCCTCAAACCACAGCTAAAGTTAAGAAGTGCTTGTTTTCCTCCTGCAGACTTGCATTAAAAGCTTTTGAGCTTGTTATGACGGATACTTTTGTTCTCAAGCGTGTCTGGCACAAAGGAACACCCGAAGTACTTCATGTGATGACGTTAAAGTGTATTAATGTACTTGGAAATGGCTTGTGGTCAGATCTAAGTGTTGAATAACTGCTCAGCAAACTGTGTTTGCTGTAATGGTTATGGTTTTACCACCTCCCGCTCAGACTCTGTCTAACCACGCCAAAACACACAATCTGAGTTTGATGAGTTTATTGATCGTGCTGTAGCACAGACAGACAGAAGTGAGTGGGAGGTGAGCACAAACTTCCACCGACACAAAACAGTCAGGACGAGTTGACGGAGCTCACCTGAATCCTGATGAAGTTTGAACATTTCAAGTTTTTATGAGGAGCTAGCTTATTGTAGCACAGATGTGGATAAATGTGTGCAGATTAATCATGCAGCTCATTGGTTTTTGTGACCTCAGTTCTCATGGTTACCTGACAAAAGTGATTTCAAAATGATTAACTAATGTTGTGCAGTATCAAAAATAATTAAATAAATAAATAAACATGACACAGAGGTGGAATATAAGAGACCGATGTAGATGTCGTGTCGCCACATGTTGATTTTTGGAATGTTATGATTTTAAATTAACATATTTCATCTATTTTCAAGTGGAATTTAATCTTTATTTTTACAAGTAGTCCCACTGAAACCCAATGTCTCATTTGCAAGAGAGAGCTGTTCCAGACAAACATTAAAATTACTATAATATGTCTAATGTAGTGAGATAGGAATCCAAATCCATGATCCAGTAAGAAGTTCTATTGAACAGATACAAAAAAACAAACCTGTGCAGAGAATAGGCAGGATAAAGTGTGTCCGAACAGAAGGAAGAAAGAACTAAACTGAGGTCCATGGAAACAAACAGGGAACAGGTTAGAAACCAGGACAAACATGATGGTGAACAACAGACTCAAACAAAACAAAGGAGAAGACATTCATATACTTGGAGGACAGAGGGGTGGAGACCGGCGGGGAACAAAACACAGGTGAAGATGATCAAAACAATAAAACTCAAAACAAGAAGAAAGAGAAAATTCAATCAAATCAAAAGCAAAACAGGAAAAACGGAAATGAGCAGACATAAATGAAACAAAGAAAACATGGAAACATAAAGGACATGCTAAACATAGATGACCTCTGTCAGGAAGAGTGACTACGCCCCTAATACTAGTATTCAGGTGGCGTTATAATAAAATTCACGGAGGTAAGAGTCGTCATGAAATGAGAAACTATGCATAGGTGACAAAGCCATTTTTGTATCAGATTGTAACCTGTTTATTTCTGCTGTAACATTAACATGGCAGTCTGTGGGCATTGAGTCACTGCTGGCGTTTCAAGTGGACGTTAGAGAAATTGCAGTTTTTTGGCACTTCCTTGTTGGCTTCATTTTTCCAACCTGGAAGTCGCTTCATGCTGAAACTGAGCATTTAGAGAAGCATGAAGTTTTGGCTCATAGGGCTTATTTCTGTGTATTCTGACGTCATTATGTAACAGTTTCACATATTTACTATGAGCATCCATCATTTTAACAGTACAGTGTATGGCAGGAAATTAAGAACAGCAGAGCAGGTCCACTTTAGGGTTCGGGGAAATCAACCTCGACTGATGACAAGCACCAAAAATATTCTGACATGCCACATTAGGAATAAGACTGGTCTAAATTACAAAATAAATGGTCCCTGAATTCCATTTAGCAGCTTCAACATCACCATTTCCCTCCAACAGGAGACGACACAACACATTCTTAAAAATATCTCGTACTTTAGCACAATTACAAACCCAGTTTTTATACAGTCTGGCGTTTGTTTTTCCTCTGTGAACACGTGGCTGAAACTAGCTTCACAAAAAAGTTTAATATTCTTTCTGCAAAGGTTTGTCTCTTGCTGTAAAGGTCTCGCAAGCCTTAAGTACAGTGTCATCTTTCACTGTATTATTCATCCTCATTACATCTCAGCTAGTGCAGTCTATCAGGTAAGAACGATGAAGAGGAGTTCCTGTGCAGTGCACACAGGAGGAAGAGGGACATGTCAGCGAATGCCCACGTATTCCTGAGGAGAAGCCTGATCAACATGATGACTGAAAACACCTGTGTGGCTCAGTAGGGGGGGAAAGGGGGTGAGGAAGAAGAGGATTCTCCAAAAGCTAGTTTCAGATTTAAATCTCACCTTCTTCCTTTTTTTTAATTTTTATTTTTTTTATTTTAGACAACTTCTACAAGGTGGAGGGAGCCAAGGATGCCTTAATCTGTGGGAACAGCAGCGACGCAGGGTGAGTCAACAGTTTCTCTTGTTCCGCTGTGAAGGTGGGAGACGTGGATTTGCCTGGGTGTGATTTGATTCTGAAGTTCATGGTTACACTGAGTGTGATTACAAACCACTGAACCAGTCAGGGCCACTCACCCTGAGCCTGGTAACGCCTGAAGTTTAAAAGAGAGTTTTAACAGACAGTTGTTTGGTTTGGTTTCCCTCTGTAACCACTTGGGGGTTACAGAGATGTTCCCCTTGTTGGTTTGCCAGTCATAGCAGATAAATGTAGCACAGTTTCAAGATGTTCTGAGGAGCGATGCGTTACTTCAGGCAGAGCCTTGGGAAGAAGCTCCATGGAGTGGGGGGGG